TTTTATTTTATTTTATTTTAATTTTATTTTTTCCACTTTCAGAACCTTGTTTGCAGTGCAGAACGCTAGCATCGAATTATCTGATCTAAACAGCAGTAAAAATTTCCATGCCATAGTTTTACTTTTCTGCTTTTTCTCATTTGGGTCTCTAGGCTATAGTGCAAAATTAAAAGCAAACAAACCAACAAAACTCCAACACTGAGAAATTGGTCTAACCACTAGGAAAAAAAAAACAGAGACTGAACTATTCCCTGCCTCCATCTGAGGTCGCTCACGAACAAGATGGTCCAAAGCTACTTGTTTGCTACAGTTCTCACGAAGCACTGCTGGCTGGCCCTTGCGTAGCTACGACTTCAGTCTCCAGTGCCCCGTCAGCAATAACTCCTTTCTTTAGCACTGTCACCTCAACACGACATTTTTATTTAGTTTCCTAAATTTCTGAAACTGCTAGGATGAAGGCATTTGTTTGCTTTTGTAACCGGGCCATGTAATGTCATGCGATTCTTTATACATCCATATTCTCCTAAGAAATATGGTAAGAAATGTGCCTTAGATTGCACCCAGGAACTGGGAAAATGCCAAATCTACTTTCAGTGACGAACTTGTAACACATTTCACTCTTTGACCTTTGGGCATAATATGAGAACAAGAGTAATCAAGGCAGTATTAAAAAACACAGCTGTAGGTAATACAAAGTGCATTTCCTGCATATAATACAACTATAACTTTAAGAAACTAAAGGCACAAGCTAACTAAATATGTATTACATACTAGAAATGCACAGTTCAAGGTAATTCTAATAGCTTCAAATATTGGTTTATAATGGATATTTAAAGCCGTTTGAAAATGATACCTCATTAGTGGATTGCAAAAAAGTGTAATTGCTTAAAATATAAGTAAAATAGACTCTAATATTGACATCTTGGATCAGTGATAAAATACATCATCACGTTTATGAATGCACTCTCTATATACAATTCATAAATTATTCTTCCATTGATTAAAAGCATATTAGAGGCTCAAGGATTTGAAGGTCCATTTTTAGGCTGGTGTGGAGGTATTCAAATTCTCCGTGATTGTATGGAAAATCACAGAAATCAGAGCTGCCAGACCTGGATGTTGTCAGCTCCCAGTTCTGTACATTAGTTAATGATGAGCCTGATCGAAACGTGTAGGCGCAGATTTTGGTCCACGATTCCCCCTGGCTGGGGAGCAGAGGGTGGTTTTAGGGGCCGGGCTCTCGCCCAGCCGGATCCTGCACCCCCAAAGCTGTGCTGGCTCCCGGGGGAGCGGAAGGAGTCTGGCGAGAGACGCTGACGGTGTGAGGCTGAGACCCGAGTCCGAACCCCCGGGGGCTTCAGGTCTCAGGTGCCAGTTCAGGCTCATCTCTAACTTTGGTACAGTCTGCTCCACTTGCCCAAAAACAAGGGAAAAAAGAAAACCGGAAAGCAAGGAAGAAAGACAAAGAAAGCACTTTGTTGGCTTCAGTAAATACGAGCAGAAATTGTTTCAATATATTTGCTATGTCTGTTTTGAAAGAAATGTGCAATAATGTCACTGTTACGGATACACAGGCTCTATAACAAGACTTCTAGCTCCCTCTGAAAGTCAGGAAAGGAAATCTGCTTACCTGTCCCCCTCCCCGTGTGCCCGCCCTCCCTTCCCGATAATCAGGTCTTTTAAAAATGACAAGCTGAAAGAAAGATCACCTACTCCGCTACGAAATAACTGTGCCAGCAGCGCATGATACCTTGGGAAATAAAAATTGCTGCCCATGCAATATAATGCTTTTCTATGTGCTCTAGATATTGAGCTGAAAAGTGAAGAGTCATCCCCAAAATGTTCTACGTTTATCAACATATTTACTATCCACACTTAGGTTCATCAACTCCCAACCCACCAATTGTCTTCAGACTTGAAAAAATGAGTAATACAACAGGATTATTAATTTGAGATGGAAAGGACCGCGATGCCTAAACCCAACAACGCTGCAACTTCTGAACGATCTGTGAAAAGACGAGTCCCGGCCCAACGACTACAGGTGGGACTGATCCTGCACGGCTTGTTGTGACTGCACCGTGTGGGCTCTCCCAGCTGGGTAACGAGGGCTTGTCCCAAAAGCACTGAGCTAAAGCCCAGCCTGGAGCACACTGATGTCGGTGGGAAGACTCCTGTTGCGTGCAGCGCTCGCCAAAGCCCTTCTTTGGCCACCTCTGATGCCTGGCTGAAGCCCGGCGGTGCGGTGCCACCCCGCACCCCTCCGCCAGGAAGACGGGCAGCTCTAGGTGTGCTGCCGGACTCCAGCATAGCCCAGTGCCGAGCGAAACCTCGGGAGAGAGGCCCCCACGTACAAAAGCAGACGCAACATGGCGTTCATCACTGCGCGGCTGAAAGGTGGCTACGGCCGAGCGAAGCCCAAGGCCATACGGGCCAGCCTTTCCGCACCGCATCCGATACGAGTCGGTCTGCCCAGGTAAGAAAATCCCTTGGATCACAGCTGTGAGGAGTGACACGTGCGGGGTGGGTGAGCGACTACGAAGTTTCCACACGCAGTCTGGTTTCTGTACGCAATCCCTTGAACTTACGGGAGATCTCCCCGGGGTAAAAACTACCCAGGAAACACGGGTTGCAGGATCAGGCTCTGTAACCTTTTAAACAACTGGTGAATTATTAAATCAACAACAACAAAAGAGTCGTGTTTCTTTAGGAGGAGGCAGAGCACGCTGCGCTCTCCCCCACCCCGCAGGGATGCGCGGTGTCACCCCGGGCACCTCGCGCGCAGGTCGCGCCGCTCAGCTCTCAGGACTCTGCTTCTGAAATTTTTGAATACGTGCCACACAAGAACTAAAAATTGTCACTGTCATCTCTCAAAGAGTTAAACGAACAATATTAAAATACCATCTTCTGTCACATTTAAAGGCAGTTGGATATGTTTTTTCCTCTATGTTTATATATACAGAGTTCTGATCTAGAAAAACCAATACAATAAACCGTTTTACGTTTAAAAACAGGCAGTCTTTGGTGACGCAAAGGCAGAGATTTTCTTTGTTACCTTCTGCCTATTTCACTCTGTCTCATAAAGTGAATATTATTGGCACTGTCAGAAAGTTCGAGATACTGCTCCACAGATAAAACAAAATATCCATCGTAGCCTTGTACCCGCCCAGTGCTTAAAAGCTGCTGTTTCTCTCCATCTGTCCATGCCCTAATACCTTCTTCCCCTTCCTGCAGCCGCCTCTGCTCCTTAGTCCAGGCCTGAGCCACGGCTCTCTGCCTGGCTATCTCTAAGACATGGTTCTTTTCTTCTTCCACCGTTGTTCCATAGCGAACGTTAAAGCACAGCGCGCCGTGCTGGAGCTGGATGTCAGCAAAGCGTCTAGTCCTCCCGTTGATCACAGAAGTCATTTGCGACACTGTGACGTTGACGCCATTCTCCAAGATGCGTCGCCCTCCGGTGTTGCCGATGAGGGCCAAATCTTCTTCCAAAGACCCCAGCTTGATGAAGTAATGTGTGTCTCGACCCTCTATGGTGAAATGCAGGTTCTCCAGATAGTGAGCGTTGTTGAGGATGGCAGCGATGCGCCGGCTGTCCTCATTAGCCACGCCTATAATGTCAGCTGTCACCATACCATCCTTTATAGCGAATTTGATGCCTTTTCCAAACACTGAAGGAACAGCTGCAAACCTCGGTTGCTTCACTCCCTCATAGCACTTGCCATCACTGTATCTGGGTGTCATAGGGAGTTGATCCAAGGATATAAAGTTTCGGAGTTGCTTTTGTAGCTCACACTGAATACCAAGGATAGTCTGGAAAATAAAATACCGATAAAGTTTGCAGGAGAGGCATCTTCAGTTCATGATAATGTCTCACAGACACTACTAATCTCTTAATTGCTTAGAATGGATCTTCAATTTGTTTGTAAAATACCGTGCACACCTACAGAGCCTGGGTACTCACACAGGCTGTCCAGTCACCTAAGATACTGCTTTCTGTCTCTTAGACTCTTTAGTTTCTAGAAAACAAATGGAAAACGTGTTTAACACAAATGCTATTTTCGTATTTATTCTTTCTTTTTTGTTCTTCCTCCCCTCTTCAAACTGTTACTCTAATGGCTTTCAACTTTTTCAAGTTTTCAACTTTTAAGCGTGGGGAAAGCTGAACTCAAAGCTGTACTCTCTCACACGATCCCACACTTAGTCTGTGTGTCTAATTGTGACTTCTGTAAAATAGCAATAACAGTTTTTGTAGCCCATTCTTTAAGGAAAGCAGGCTGTGAAGGTCTTAAGACACTAGAACAACAGTAACCACGCAAGTACGTTGGATCGGTAGATCCTGCTCCCCATTGAGGCTAAAAAACCCCCACTCCAACCATCTACTTGCCTTCTAACACTATACCTATCACTACCCTTTCTCTGTGTCCTTGTAGTAGCTTATTTGGTATCTCAGTGGCGATTTTACATGGACGTGCTCCTATACCTGGAACGAGCTTTGACCTTCCAGCCCTCTGCACTTTGAACAGTCATTTGTGCATGGGAAAAGAAGCGTGTTAAATGCTATTAACGTGAACTGACAGCATTTTATACTTCCTTTTCCTGACTACATCAGAGGAATGGCATCTTTTCTCTCTCATCTTTGCAAAAACCTATTTGTTAAGATATGCTCGTATGGTCAAATGCAACACATGAACACCTGCTCAGAGTATCGGTAATTGGTCCTGTTGCAGTTACATTGACTGCTAGACCCTGATAGCTGCTGCATGGCTCCTCTTTACTGAAAATAAGCCCTGGAGCAAGGTTGAGTTTTACAGATACCCCTAGAAATCCATAGCAACGTTTCTGTTTTCCCGCAATAATTATACAGAGGTGCAGTCTAGTAAAGCTTGTTTATAACCTCGGTGATTTTGCATCTCTTGTGGCATCTTTGCTAACAAAGATGAAAATCTGTGGTTTTAATTTTTTATTCCCACGTAATTTTTGGTAGCTTTTTCAATTTTCAAACACCTTTATCCTTTTGCCTATCCTGCCCCTCAAATTTGGATGGTTTCTCTGCAAACAGCTGCAATGTTTCTTCACTGTGTTCCTGAAAGCTTCTCCTTAAAACTCTCCTCTGCTCTGATACCTGTATATAATGTGACAACATTAAAGTTCCTAGCATTGTTAGACTATTTGCCTTGCCTATTATGTTGAAAGATACAGCCACATTGTTTCCTCGGTCTCCAACATTTTCTAATCAAATTCCTTAATTTAGTATTAGAAGCAGCTGAACAGGGTTTTTGCTAACCTTTCCAGGATCCCACTCGTGAGTTTTTGTTTGAAGCTGTAGAAGTTCGTATGTTGTCTCCAAAGCTTCTATCTCTGGTTTTGGGAATCCAGGCAGTACGTTGTGCAGCTGGAAACCAAACAGCTCTAGCCAACTTCCAATGTCTACAAAACAAGAAAAGGACGTTGGCAATAAGGCAGGTAAAACCTAAAAAAAAAGTGAGGGTAGTCTGCAGAAATCCCAGCTACGCAGAAATAATGATTTCACATCAATTCATGTTTTCAGTGCTGGTTACAGCATTTATTGTAGCAAACCAACTATTCGATTACAAAGCATAGCTATGCTCAAATCAATAGCGTACCTTCTATCTATTTATAATGGAAATAATTCAAATTAAGCTGCTTCCATTCTTCCCCTAATTTTAGCACTTAGAAAAGCAGCAGAAACTACTATTAATTATTTTCTTGGTTACCATAAAGGCTATAGAAAACAGATCAAGCTCAGTAAGATGATAGCTATTAAAGAAATGACTTTAATATGTGTAAGATTAGAGCCAAATAGTAACTTTGGATGTACGCAAAAGATTTCCGGAGCCTTGAATCCACACCAGAATTTGATCAAAAGTTGTATTTTCGTGAGAAACATGTTACTTTTACCTGTGGTATACTTAGTGACATCTTGGATTCTGCCAACTGGGTAATTATTTTCAAATGAGTAGAGATTAAATGGTTGTGGGACAGTATTCAGGTGTTTCCATATATGATGATTTGGTGTCGTCCACCGCCCAGCAATGACATCATAGTCCCGCTGACCCAGATGAACTAATTTAGTAAGAGAATCATAGAGCCCTCCATGAAAACCAATGATAACCTGGAAATCTGGATTAGTGTCCTGGTAGATCTCTCCATATGGAGTGTACAAAATTTCTTTTATGACTTGGCCCCGACTGCTAAATACAGCTAGAGGTGTTCCAGTGTTATCACAAGCAACGTAATATTCTTCTCCGCTGCTTAGTTCCATTGCAATGAGATGACCTTGAAGATCATAATATAGGGATGTTATTTCCAAGCTAGTATGATTGTACAAGTGAGTAACTCTTATTGGGTTGGAGAGATCAGCATAGAAGAACTGTAGGTGCTGTCCTAGGCTTGATTTGCTTGCAACTCGTCTTCCAAGACCATCATAGCAGTATTGCACAGTCCAGCCAGACACTTTGTTGTACGCTTTGTTCAGCAGACCGTTAGAGTTATACTCAAAGATCTCATTGCCTCTTTGCCTGAGAAAACCATCTTCGTCCATTTTATATTGAATTTCTCCAAGTCTGGTAATGCGATCTCTCAGATCGTATCTCAGAGGAGTGAGGCGCGCACTGTTTCCATGGCTCAGCAAGTTGATGTTGCCATTAAGGTCATAGCTGTAGCGCCACTGGGTTTTATCATTCACAGACACAGTCTGAAGTTGACCATCAGCGTCATATTCATAAAAATATCTTGTTATGTTGGCATCTACACCTACGCGTATATCACAGATCACCATACGACCCATATTATCATACTGGATGGTCATCCAGTAAGCGATAGACTTGAGAATTTCATATTGTACTTCAATCACCTGGCCATTAGCACTAAAAATTTTGGTATGTTTCATCACAGTGGTGGTTATAACTTGGTTTAAATCATAATTAATTACACTGAATTTCCCAAATTGTTCAGTCCTGCCAGAGACATCGACGTAACGGTACAGATCTATGGGAAGAGGCGTCTCGTTTATCATGGCCTGCATGCTCGTGACACGGAAGTTGTTATAGCTGTAGTCAAATCTGGCGTTTACAAGCCCTTCTTCACTAAACCTGAAGATTTGGCGACCAATAAGCGGACCTGTCCAAAACAAATAGGGGAAAGAGGAAAAGCAAGAAAAATAATGAATTATGTCCACAGTATACTTATTCTACAGATCTAGCACAGACAAACAATGAACTCAAATATACCCTTGAGCCTTATTGCTACTTAACTGTCTCAGAGAGTACCATTAACTAAGAATACGTTAGATTATTCTCTCGCAAGCCTTTATTAATGCTTGCTCTACCAAATATTTATATTTTATTAGCATTTGTTTAAATGAATCCTATTTTATTCATAATTATGATTTCTATTTAGTTACAAGATAATTCTAAACTGAATTTATTTTACATGGTGATTTCCTTTCTCATATAAACAGTCCTTTTGAATTTATGTTATATTATGGTATAAGCAGGGAAACTTGAAAATACAAACAATAAAACAACTTGATTTAGTAGTTAGTAAATATCCATACAGTGGAATAAAACCAATCCAACATTATAAGAGCTATTCCATACCAAGCAATAAAAAGAAAACTGTATTCCAAATGGGACAGCTATAAATGCCTATGGACACAGACATAGACACATACAGCAGACATATTTTCTATTGAAACGTAAAACATAACAACCCATAGCCATAAAAATAAAGGAATTTCATGCCAGGTATGCACAGGATCAGGGCCAAAACTTTAGCAAAGTAGTCACGTTTACACAAACCTGTCTGCCTGTATCTGATGGTACAGATGAACCCGTCATGCATTAAATGTATTGTTTTGATAACCCCAGAAGATTCCTCGTAGGTGAACGTGACTTGTGTAGTATCATAAAGAATCTCGGAAAGTCGGGATTGTTTGGTGTATTTGTAAAGGACTCTGCGTCCCGTCCCAGGATATAATGTTTGCAGAAGCCGACCGTCTCTGGTGACGTCCTGGATGAAAGCCGCACTGCTGTCCGGAGGGGTATAGATGTTGCGGTAGTACCCGACGGACAGCATGGTTTGCAAGGCGTGGCGCACCATGCTCGGCATGGTGACCGACAGCAGGTAGTCGGACTGGTCGTACTCAAAGATGTAGCGGCGCTGGCTGTGCAACAGGAGCATCACGGACTGCAATCAAACAGGAATGGCAGTGTAAGCGGCTGATCAAGCAAATGATTATTCATCTAGCGAGCGCCTGAAGGTTAAGGAAATGCCGAAACAACCACCCGCTCTTGTAGTTCGCTCTCGCTGCGTACAATTCCAAGTGAAGCTTTCAGCTCCAGGAGACCTGGCCAGCAAGGTGGTACAAAACAGGAGGAGAATAATAATAAGGACCTCCAAACTGGAAGGCAGATGTGGCGCTCAGTAGCGTTTCAGCCTCATGCTGACTTGCTATGTTGCTTGGAAATATTTAGGTCATCCTCCCAGGAAGCAAAACCAGAGGGAACCTCTTCCTCACACACAGGCAGAGCATCTGCACCAGCAGATGTTTCTAGAGGAGGTGGGAAGGGGAAACTTTCAATGGTGTGTACAAGGTGTTTAGCTTTCACTGGCACTCTGCATATCTCTGTCGCACACCCACCCCCTTCTCTGTATGTCTTCTATTAAATGCACGTTGCCCCAGAGGTCACAGTATCTCCATGCTTACAGATGGATGAAAACAGTCTGCAGGTTCTTCGGCGTGACTACTTTTATCTGTTTTTTAATGTTTACAAAGAATGTAATTTCTACACAGGTACTTGATATGTGCCCTGTGTTGGTGAATTGGGGCTGGTCAATGAAATCTGTTTGTTTGTTTGGCAGATCAATGTGCAAGCACGGCAGACTCTTTTTGGTGCAAATTTGACGCTGGGTTCTGTAAACCTTTTCAGCAGTCATGTGCAAAGTCACACTGTCACAGACTACAAGCCCGCTGGTGAAACAAGCATAACGAAAGCACAGAGTAAAAATGTGAAGGGGAACTTTGTAGCCTTCCCCCAGCTCCAGTAAGTGGCTGGGCTGGAGCGGAGCGCTGCGCATCCTTGCCGCGCTGTGGGAGCCGAGACGGAGCGCTGACACTGCACAGTTCCGCTCCCAGCCCAAACCTACCAGGCACATAAGCGAATTTGTCAGGCTTCTGTAGGATTGAGACATCATGCAACACAAAGTCTTACGAAGAACAGTGTGACTGCTTTTTTATAGAGCATGGGGGAAAGGAATCAGAAAAAAAGGCTTTTTTTCCCCTCTGAGCTCAAAAATCTTCTCTGGGAAGAAAACACCGAGAGCTCAGCCCTGCAATGCGTTAAGTAACATTGGCCCAGAGCCACCTTGCTCTGACAAATAACCCAAGTGCTTATTCAAAGGACCAAAGGTAGGCGAAGCCTTGGCCATCCTCTCTGCACGCCCGGCCCCCCGCCCTCCCAAGATGTATTTCTTCCTGCCCTTGGTGAAAGACATCTGTCCCCTCTACACAAGCCAGAGAGCATCGACATATGCCGCTCGCAAGTCACCCTCCGCCAACGGGTGACGACAGACCTCTACACCGAGCTTTTTCGGATCGCCTTACTGCTGGTCTGCCGAGCGTTTCTGACACGCCCAGCGTTTATTTTGTTTTCACCTTCAGTCAAGAGTCCCCAGTCTGCAGTAAACCACCGGCTGAACTCTCTCCTCGCACTGATGTGACGCCTCTCTCTCTATACTGCTCCTGGGCCAGTTTTTAAGCTGTCTGCCATTGACAGAGGATGAATAACAAGATCAGAAACATCTCTAATGTAACTTTAGTGTCCCCGTGTGCCATTTTTACAGTACTTTGTGGCTTTTCGACTTTTGTCCAGGATAGTAAAAGGATAGACAGTACAAAGGTTGGAGACTTCGTATCCTCTCTGGCCTATTAGAGGCTACCATAAAGAGAAAAAAAATTAATTCCCAATTCATCCTAATAATATTACAATAGATTTTTCAACTCTTTGCACAAATTGGGTTCTAATTGTTTTAAAGGATTTCAGAGCTCATAAAACATCCAAAAAGCTGTCATTTTACAAAAGCAACCAGAGCCTGGTCAACCACGTAATGATTGATGCCGCGTCGTATATTGAGACAAACAGCCAGTGGCAATTACTGGGAGCTCCACTGGGAATACACGGAAATGCTGAGCATCACCACTAGATGTCATTTCTGTCCAACATACACACGCAACTGCTCATCTCTTTTGTCTGGTGGTAAACGGCAGGAGTTTGGAAGCAAGCTTGGAGTATTCAGGGGATTTTATAACACCATTAACTAATTGAGGGAAGTGACCAAAACAGGAAGAACTGAATCTCATCAGTAAAAATCATTTACAGTGCTATGATCATGGTGCTTTTTAAAACCGAAATTATTGGAGCTAATTTTGGAAGGGGTAGACATTTTTGAACATGTACAATTAACTCATCAAGTGCTAAAAATGAAGAATCAAATAACTATGAATTGGAAGCAAACTATATAATTGATTTTTTGATAAAAGGAATCATTGGGCCTTATGAGGTTTCAGACAACCTTTAGCAATAATTACATAATTAACACGACGAGTTAGTGACTTTAATGGAGCCACAAAATGATATTTCAATGTCTAATTTTGACAATGAATTCATCTTTCTTTGGCACAAGGAAGAAACAGTGATTGAAGTACATTAAATAGCTGGGAGATCATGTCCACGGTGTATATGACTTTCAATAATTTTAATGACAAGTTATAGCATAACCCAAGCCTGCTGCTACCTGAACCAGTAAGCTTTTGCCATTTGCTTCAATAAGATCAGGATTTGGCCACTTGTGTAGCATTCCAGAATAACAGTTTTAAGTGATATGACTTTATTTATAAGCTCATCATAAACTAAGACCAGACAAAGTGGTTTGGAAAGATAAGAAGCATACATCTTTCCAAAATTACAGCCCGTTAGGCTCAAAGAAAAAAAAAAAGATTTCTCCAAAAGGCACATCGCCTAAATATTTGAAAGCTGTACTAAATGCCTGTTTACGTGCAATTTGCAGAAGTGCATACAGACAAAAGAAGCCCTGACAAATTTATCTGAACCAAACTTCTGAAGCTTCTAGGGTTTGTCAATCTTTTTAACTCGTGTGAGAACCATATACCGCATTGCAGACAAGGAAGGAATCACATTTTTATGCACTCTTCAGTATAAATTGTTTTTTACTCTGGGTTAGGTTTAAGTTTTTTGAGGATCAAGCTTAAGTACATTCAAAATAAGTACAACAAAGTCTATCTTAAAACTACACGTTTGACTTTTTAATATATAAATAACTTCAAAGTCATTGGAATTCCTGCGTGTAATACCCCCTATCAGTTCTACCTCACCCGCCCCCTCCTGGCCTTTCCCTGTGGTTAACAGGTTCAGAGAAAATGTTCTGCAAACTTTAACAAGAAAAGTTTAAAAGGACGCTATTATTTGAATACAATTTCACACTAAACTCTGAAAACTTTAAAATACGGATTGGCTTTTTGGTTTTGAGAGACAAGACCAAATGAGATGCTTCTACAGATGAAGGAGATGCTGTTCTTCCTTAGTCTGTACAACACTTATTCCCCCATTTTGTGACCATTACCTATAGACATAAATGAAAATTACAATACTCAGGCAATTTAGACATGAAGTCACTATAAAAGCAGAGCACTAACTCATGTCATATTAATTTCTGCCCCCCCGCAAATGGCCCTCATAAATACTGAAGCAATCTGTCTCCTCACAGGATCAATCCCTTTTTTACAGCGCAGCACTGAATGGGTACAAGCTTGTACTCAACTGGCTCATAATTTTGGCTAAAAAGAACTGTGTTTGTGGGGAGAAAAAAGTTCCCTTTCAGTGACTGTTATATTTTTGACTATGTTATACAGAGTAGCAACAGATTTTTCAACAGTGAGAGTGCCCTTTGTTCACTTGAACTTAGACTGAGACCAAGAAGTCATTTTCACCTATTAATTAAACAAATCTGAGGTGCTGATAACTTTCTTCACAACTAACCTATGCCAGGTTTGAACAGGTCACATGTAGGTCTAAGCATGTCCAGACACATTTTTATCTAGTTATGTAATTTTAGGCATTTTCTGTTTAAGAAGTCTTAAACACTCTTGCAAGAGGTAGCATTATAACATAGTTCAGAATATAGTATCTAGATCAAAACAAATATTTTTGCTTTGGTACAACAATCCGCATTTTAAATGACTTACCTTTTCTAAATACGTGTAACTCCATATTTTACCATCTGCCCATGTTCTGGAAATGATGTTCCCACTTGGATCATACTCCATTTTCTCAGTCCAGGTTCCTCTTTGGATATAGGTGACTAATCCAGAATGTGAATAAGTGATATTGACCTCATTGTACTTGCTGATGGGTGACCATAAAATTGGGCGTCCTGTCTGGTCATACATAATCCGAAGAGTGAATTTTCGATGATCATCATAAATCTTTCCTGTTCTGGTTACATGATCGAAATCAATGGAGAGCAGGTTTCTGTTGTGGGCCTAAACACAAAGATACAGTACGGTAAGAAAACAATGCGTCTTACAGACAACACGAACACTTCTGTGTCAGCTGGAATAAAAATATGCAATGGTTCAACATTAGGATGGAGAATTCAGGCCTTATTAAAGACAAGAAAATAGACAAATATCCAGATGAGAAACAGGAGGACCAAGAAACAAAATACCGCTTGCATTCAGTGTTATTATACTTTGTAATTACAGGATGCTTCCTATTTCCATGTGCTAAAGCCTCACCTCTGCTCTCATCTTTTCCTAAGTTTTCTTCTTTCTTCCTTCTTCTCAACTTTCATCTCTCTGTGGATGGACTTTTTGATTCCAGCCAAAGATGTGCAGATAAGCCCACAAATTAAGAAAGGCACCCTACGCCGCATCCTCTCTCCGAAGCTCCGTTAATGTTGACAGGTCAGCTACTGCTCTGGGATAGCCCACGCCAGGCTGCGTACGGATGCCACGAAGGGAAGAGCTGTGCCGGCAGCTCCCGAGGAGCCTGCTCACCAGCATCCTCATCCCTCTTCACAAAACCAGCCCGCTCCCAGAGCTCGTGAAAGCCAGCAGCAGCGGTGCCTGGTGCCAGCCGCATTCCTTGTTGCAGCTCTCTCACCACATTCAGGACCTGCAACACTTGTTAAACTCGCTGTGTCCGACAGACTAACAGAGCGACTGTGCTACGATCTCTTAACATTCATGGTCCAACAGGAAAAGGCAGAGGGGCAGCCCAATTTTCAGTTTGACATCAAGTTCAAAGCCGAGCCAGATTCATAAAGACAAAATATATTTATCCAGTGCTTTCATGGTCTTCCTCCTTACGTCAGTCACCGGGCAATCACTATTAAACTCCATTTAAATCAGAGATATATAACGTAGGGAACCGTAAGACATTGTTCATGGACTCATCTTTTTCAGATCAATGCTCAACGCGCTCATTGTATTAATCTACTGCATTTTATCTAATCATTTGTATTAATCTATTCCAATTAATAAATTCCTTACAGCAGAGGTGATGTCAGTGCAGGTGCTAGCTCAGGGCACAGCGCCGTGCTCGCTCCTCACCTGGACCCGGAGGCAGAGCCGTTAAGTAAATGGTTAAGCATAATAACTCGAGCTGGGATCATATGGTGGTAGTGATTAGAAAGAACATTTTTTCCCTTGCCCCTTTCTGTTTTTAGATACAAAATAATTTGAAAATCTAGAAGCTGGTGTTCTTTCTTCGACTACCATTCCTGGGGTTTTATACACACACACGTCTAGTTTTAATAGTGTTAATTTACAATAGCTGTAAAATACCTACATACCCCCGTAGACTGCTGTAACTATTATGATTTATGCTCTAATGATAGTTAAGGAGCCCAAGTAAAATGTGATGCTTAGTTCAACTATATTTGCTTGTTTACAGTCTGATGGATTAAGTTTATAATAATATATATCTTTGCAAACTTCTTGCAATTTCTGAAAACAAACCCTCTTGGTGGTAAAATAACTGAAAAGCAAGCAGGGGATATACCCTAGCTCATCCTCATTTACTGTCTATGTACATATTTGATGTTCTTATTACTATTATTATTATTATTACTGCAGTTAGGAGAAAGGAAAGTCTTGAATACAAATTGCTTGTAATCTAAATTTCAGGGATGATACAAAAAATAAGAATGAAAACCAGAGGCAGAATTAGCAGCGAAGTGGACAGCAGCAGTATTTGAAAGCTTACAGAGTTAAAATAAGGTTTGGGTGGATGCCATTACTTCCCTTATATGCCACATTTAACGTCTCGTTTGTTTACTTTCTTGTATTAGATTTAAGTTAAATTTAACACCCTTCTCAAGGCAAGAGAGGATGACACATGGGCAGCAGGTCTCATTTCAACATTGTCACTGAAGATGTGATTGCAAATTCCGCTGGATTCTTAAAAACGACTTCTCCAACGTGCACATAATGTAGTAAGGAGCCCTGTGCGAGGCTGGAGCTCGTGCGTTCTGTTACAAGCCAGGGAAAAACGGTTTCTGAAAGCAATGCCAGGTCAGAATTTCAGCTGATGAAAACAGGGTGAAAATTCAGGTGACTTCAATAACAATGTCAGTGCATAAAAGGATATATTTATTATATATTTTTAAACATCCGTTGACTCTACTTCCTTTAGTTTTATAGCTAGAAATTTTGCGGCGTGAAAATGTGCGCACATAAATGTGTGCTTCTCTTGACTTTCATTCTCAAACCTAAACTGTCTACAACGTGTAAATCAGATGAGATGACTGTATTAGTTCCTTCTCTGTGTTTTGATTTGAGTCAGTGTAAACAGATACATACTGGCAGAGGATTTGGTCCTATCATGAGAACTTGCTGTAAGACTGGTGAATAAAGGGAGATCATTTGCTAAATGCAATTATAAACATAGCTGTCAAAGCCGGTATCTGAAGGACTTTTGAATTGAGGCCAGTGAGTTACTTCCTTTTCTGTTATTAAAAAAAGAAAGAAAGCAAAAATAAATAAGACTGGCCAAGCATTCAATTTTCAATTTTGTAGTTATTCAGTTATAAAACCTGGACTGCATCCAATGCCAAGTTCCTCTAACTTATGCAAAAGGCAGGAGGGAACAGAGCTGCATTCTAATCAGTATATTACTATGCATCATGCTTATTGGTTTTAACAACAGCCTTTGCTTCATTTTTAGAAGTCAATTAAAATAGCAGTTCAATTGATAAAAAAGTAGTCTTGCTAGATTAAGATTGATGTTAAAACGCCTGATTGTACATAGATTTATTATTAATATAAAATGCATACATGTCTACAGATGGTTTTATATACTTTCAGGAAGCGCCAGGGCAGGCAGTTCTGCACTTAAAGGAAACCTGTGATTAATTCCTGTTTCCCACATTGATTTAGATACCGAGATTAAAGTTAGATGTCTGTTCTAGACTTTCAGGTAACTTACTCACTTCTGCTCTATTTCTAGAGCAGGGAATTCGTACCGTGCAAAAATCCCACTTTTTAAAACATAACATTTACAGCATTATTCAGAACGTGCTAACAGTGGCCTCTTTTCAAAACTGGAAATAACACTAATAGAGTGACATGCTGTCAAGTGGGTTGCTAATTGTGATTAAGAATTAAAAATGTTAGGACCAGGCAGAGAAGGAACAGCTTTCTTCTTCTCAACTAGGTCATCCTTTACCTCATCCCCAGTTACCTGCTTTCTAATTTATACCTCTTAGCACTCAAAGCCATTTGTTTCAGTGACAGTATCAGGACTGATCTCCAAGTAATGTCTTTAAACCTCATTTTTATGCTGTTTTTTCCTCAGAAAACTCTTCCATTGTGCTGTTGCTTTTCTTTAACTTGCTTTAACTTTAACTTGCTCTGGCAAGTCTGTTCATTTCCGTTGAGAACTGGTCCAATCCCCAGAGCTTTTCTTTACATGTATTTTCAAAGTTCAGCATAGTTCTTTCTGCCCTACATTGCAAGCTTTCTAACACACTTCCTATTATGCCAGTCATGGCATATTAACTGTTTAAAAACTTTCTTTTTAAAATGTAATTCACTGGAAGTTTTTAGCAGGTCTCACCAGAACATCACCCAGCATAAGGGCTTCTAATGATGCGACATTTTTTTCCCCGGCAGTACTCAAGGATCTGTCAACAGTAAGCCCTAAATCTCTTTCATTATTTGGCATACTGCTTTGAACACACTATATGATGGTATTTTTGCTCCTGCTGTCCTGCATATTTCCTTTAGTCACCAAGGAAAGATAGCTGTCTCTAGGTAAATTCTGCTGCTCCTTTGCCCTCCTTGCCAGCTGCACTGTTCCAGCTCCTTCCCCCTCCACCGACTCCCCTCTCCATCAGCATCCCATGCAAAGTTCTTGGTGCTAAAGCTGAACTCCAGGATCCATATATTTCACCTACCCTCCAAAGTCGTTCTTATTGGCAATAACAGCCTCGATATAATCCATTTGTCTCTTTCTCTTGTGTCTGTTTACATGGTTTATCCTATATTTCTCCTTCTTTCCACTATCAAATCCTCATTTAATGTGCTGTCCCAACAGGTTCCCTCCAGCCTTGCCCTGACAGCCCTCAGACATATGGTCCTAGAGCTCAGTAAACTCAAGGGAGGGGAAAACACTGTAATACAGGCAGCTGACTTGTCCTTCTGAGCAGGCAGGGACAACCCATAAGCCCCCTTGATCTTGGGTAGGTATAAAAAGACACAATTTACCGAAATAACAACGCAATGGTCAGCTCCTGTGATGCTAATACTTTTGGAAGGACAGAGAATATAAGACAGTAGCACATCGAAATCATTCTTACACTTCACCTTCACCTTCCATCCTCTCACTGGATGAAGGTGAAGGAGGAGAAAGAGGAGTACAGAAGTGCTTCGGTGCACCAGCAGACTGGTCCAGAGGCAGGTCAGTCAGCTGAGCTCTGGGTAGCTTCACTGTAGCAGTATTTCAATGAACATTTTATGCCTCCATCCAGAATCCATTTAATCCTGACCAATTTGTGACTTTCCTCCCTTTTTTGGCAGGCAATATTAAGGATCATACAGAAGCAAGTGAAAATGAGTTAAAAGAACCTGCAATCAATTTCAACTACAGAAAATATAAACTGCATAATAGGAAAATTGTGCAGGATGAAGTACTTGTATTAAATGTAACTGTCATGAACAACTTGGCCCTGGCAATGTAAGCAGAATAGATGACTGACTACATCCCTTCTGTTTAAGATTTTATTGCATAAGATCTTTAAAGAAAAATGAGCCATACAGTTACTTAAGCACAAAATCACACAAAAATCGATTAGGTAACTTGAGCCATGGGGGCCATCGTTTGGATCCTGCCATCTAAACACACGTTTGCCACTGCAGTAAGTACAGCTGCCTCCCTAGACAGGGCTATGAGGACTCCCACTGTGCTAGAGAGGAGACAGTCAGAAGACGGGCAAGAAAAACGAAATGAAGCTTTTCCCCACTTGCAAGATCCTAATAAAGTAGCTGTGACTCCCAAATCTGAAAGATGTCCTTTCAAACACGTGTTTCACATGCAGTGGCCAGTCTGGCCAGATCAGCCGAGTCTTGCATTTTTGATTGATCAGAGCAGTTGAAAACCAAATCGATGATACACTTCTAAAAAATACATAGTCTCTCATAACCAAAATACAATCTAGAGATTTTAATAATCATCTATATATTTTCAGAGCTAACAGATGTACCTTTCAGAGAGAATACCCATCCAGAAAGGTTGTAGTTAATAATGCAATATTTTTAAGGCTAAAATTCCCAGTCGTACTACTGGTACAGGCATTTTAAGGGGTATTCATGTGAAAAACAGAACGGATTTCATAAAAAACCTGTTCTGCAAGGTAGCAGTCTCTTTGAGCCTTAGTGTTGCCTAATTAAATGCTGAATGTTGACCATCTGTCATTGTAACCTGCGAGTTCTCCTCACAGATAAAAATAAACTATAGATGCAACGTTAAAGCAATCCTTTACGAGAGCCCTAGTGTCGCCCAGCCAGAGGGAGTGAGGGGGTTTGAGAGCGTTTGAGGGGGCAGAGGGTGGAATACACATCCTGTCTGGGTACACAGGGAGGTCCTACATCACCCTGGCCAGGACACCCAAGGTGTGCCCTGCGAGACCCTCTGCCCCAGGCAGAGGCTGGCACCTGTTATTTCCCCCAGAAGAAAGAGGGTTGATAGATCCGAGAGAGGCAGAATGTGGCTCCAACTCTGCTGCTGTGCCAGAGTAACTACGCATCGTCCTTTGCTCACAGCTTCTTCCATAGCCATAATTAAGTTCTTAGTTGAAAAAGAAGAGGTAGGAAAAAAGTAATTATGTCTTGAGGTCAAGTCTCACAATCAAAATCAAGCAGAGATCAAACATCCCTGTGACTGTTGGAGGAGTTTGGTTTTGAAATTCATGGCTGGGGCCCACCATTGATACAAACTTTCCATTGCTCTTCTTAACAAAGTAGAACATTTCAGCATGATTTTACTTCAATGGCTTTCAAAGGGAACACTGCACTTTACACAAGAGGAAGCCTTACCCTTAGCCTTCTCTCAAATGTGGAGATATTGCCTTTGGTCTGCTCCCTCCTTTGCCTCCATTCAATGAGATTTGAGTTATGCTCTCCAGGAAGGGAGATATTGCACTTCCCTAAAGTGGGGCTGACAACCCCTGCTAGAATATGAGGCTCCGTGTTAAGCGTGATTTCCATTCCGCTGGCAAAGGTGACTCTCAGAGACCCATCTGGGCTGACCCGGTAGATATTCTGCGTGTTATCTGTCAAAAAACAACAACCAAAAACAGGGAACAGAGAAAATTTCAGATCTCCAGATTTACGAAGCAGATGTTAGGTGCAATAGGGCTTGCTTTGTCCCTAGGTTACAGACAGCTGAACATACAGTGTGATTTTTGCAACCTATAACTTCCAGGCCTTCCCATGTCTAAAGAGCTTTTTATTACATTTGGCCTGATGATCTCCATTGTGAGGATTTCCTGCAGCAGGAGTAAAGAGTTTTTGCTTTCAGCTTAAAAGTGTGTAAACCCATAGGCTGGGTTTCGACCACGGATACTCTGATGATTCTAGCACGTTGGAATCTGTTAACAGGATAGCGTACTGCTTGAACGACTGCAATGAGTATCTGAGGTTGAGCATGAAAGCTGTCTTCAAAATGCCTGCGATGATGGCCAGTCTCCCATTCCGTCCCTTTTCCCTGTATCACTGTACTAAAACCTTCTCCTCTTCCCCATTAGCAGCAGGACCCTGAGGTAGAGGCACAGCGACGGTAGCCACGAGCCTGGTGGAAGTGACCCACTGGGAAGTGCTGTTGGCACAAAAACGACTGGGTCAGCAACAGTGGCAGAGTGAGGAGCTCCAGAGGCTCCGGACCGCGCCCCGAGGGCTGCTGAGGGCAGCTGGGATTACCTAGCACAGCCTGCTCCCCCTCCTCAAGACGGCAGAAGCGCGCAGAGGGTCCAGAGCAGCTCTCCGCTGAAACGATGCGAAGGCACAGAGCCACTGCCCGCTGCCCCTCTCCCGCCTCTGCGCCGCAATGCCTCCCGTGCCGAGAGCTGTGCCGCGTCGCCTGGCCCTTGGTCAGGCTGGGGACGTGCACGCAGGAGGTTCTCGTGGCTCAGCTGCCAGCAGGCAACTCGATCACGAGCCTGAACATTTAGCGCTAAAAGACAACACCGAAGTCTCACCCTTAAAATGTAACTGAATTCATACCAGCTAGGGACTATGAAAAGCATCCTTTTTTTTTAAGCTGGTCACACAGAAGTAACCGGTCCAGCTCCTGAGACGTGGATATGTGGAAAATAGTTGGATGTGTCACAAAGTGAAGATAACAGGCATTACATTAACGGAGACTTTGTGACTCAGAGGTAAGGATACCATATCTGGTTCACAGAGTGCGTCGTGACAGTTTCACAGAGATGCTGAAATATGCAAATGATATGAATTCATAAATATGACAGGTATAGTAACAACTACAGCAGTTCGTTTCTGTTGTATCACATCCCAGTGTGCTAGCACTTTCCTGAGACAGAATTTGGTAATGTACGAACTTTGAGGAGTTTCAGATTTAAGGACAGCCATGCAATCCGGCAGGCAGTAGATGAAGCAGAGAGCAGATGGGGGCACTTGGACAAAGCCTAACAGGTGATACAACAATATAATATAATTATTTCCACTTATTCAGTGCTCTCTCTGCAATGCAATAGTGAAGAGGAATGAGTGAGTATCTTGTGAGGTGAGTTCTTCCTATTTTTTTCTTAGAAATCAAAAGCTGAAAGGAAAAAAAGTTCTGTGATTTGCTCAGAGTTGCAAAGCTTTTCTACAGCAGACCTGGAAGGAAATCAGAGACCCATTTCTGAGCACCTGCTTCTCAAAGCCTGAACAATCCACTGACAACAAAAAAAAATCAACAAAGAGAAAATACCCTAGATCGATTAAACTATATAAGACCAGAATTTTGGTGATGAGTCTGCAAAATCTGGAGGAGTACACTGGGGCACTTCCATTAGGCAGAGAGTAAATTCTTCTCGGGATACAGGATATTGCCAGGGAAATACTGTGGTGCCTACAGGGGTTGAGTCAAAAATCTCATCCCCAAGGCAGTCACCAGCAAAGGTGGATCATGCTTTCCTCCTTTCTACGAGCACTGTCACCAGGACACAGCACTATCACAAAGAATTCACAGCACTGGCCAAACAAGGAATTTCAGTGCTAAAATGTCAGTGGAGCGTGTCATTCTTCTGGGCAGTATTTCTTGGAATAAGAAAGCTCAGTGTATTATAGGTCAGTCTAAGTCCTCCAGATACTGAAGTAGAAAGTAGCACGCAAAGCCTGGAGATTTCAATAACTAGAATCTATCCACGGGACTCTTCTAGGAGGAAAAGAATTCACTTGTGGTTTGTTTCTAATTGGTACCCCAGGAGAATTGTAAGTAGTATCTAGCTATTTGTACTGAAGCAAGGAAGAAACAAATGGACTAATTCTAATGTCTTTTTTTGTCAAACAGTTAAGAATGCAATAATGTCTAGGGATTGAAACGTAATGATCAGCAAAGAAACAACAGAAATGCTTTAATTACCTTGTTTTAAAGTATATATTGTAGAAGTAGCTGAGAAATTTGTGGCTGTGATCACGTTCTCTCTGTTTGAAGTATCAAGTTCCACTCGTGTCAGTTTTTCAACATCACTGTGGAAGCTGCTGACTTCCCCGGTCGGGAAGGTCGCGTTGGTCAGATGGCCATCGGAGTCATACCTGAAAGACATGATGTTAAAGAGCCATGAAAATACATCACTATTGTCTTGTAGATACTCCCGAAAGATAAAAGAAAGGGAAGAAAGTAAGAAGCATTGGCAACACTGTGCAGTAAGTAAAAAGGTAAGAATTGGTCTACTTATTCACTCAGAATGCATTCATTCCCTAATCCGAATTCCTGCTTAGACTCTCTTTCAGTGGTGCTGGATAAAATGTAACTGGGAATAGTATGAGATACTATCTGCATCATTCAGCTTCTGCCAGATGTTTCCGCGCTGCGCACAGACGCCCGGGGTTTAACCCGCTGGGATGTGACACAGGAGGGTGGCCGCTGGAGGTCACTCGGCATACAGGAAACCAACTCACCCACGAAAAGGCGTTTTCTTACCCGTAAGTTTAAATAAAACCAATTCTTAGATTCTGCAACCCTCAAAAACTGCCTTTTGTTGCTGATGTGCGAAGCACATAATATGAATGGTGAATTTAAAAAAGGGACGTAAAGCGTAACAATAGCGATAAAATTAGATTGAAATCTGCAGCGATTAAGTTGCCTACATAGTTTTTACCCTTGTGTTACGTTTCCCACTCAGGAACTTCTCATCACAAGTAACGGCACCAGAATCTAGAGCACCACATTTTAGTTCACCTAAATTTCATCAGTGCTAAAGAAACTCTTTTCGTTTAAGGTACTTCATGTGAATCGGCCATGTTGTGAAAAAGTCAATAATTAATTTAAAAGCTCTAGAGCAGTGTTTCTAAGGGGTCTTTTCAGTTCTACAGATATATTTGTTCTTTCTGATGGTTCACATGGAAAACAATGCACAACAGTGCTTGGTGCTTGATATTGTTTCATATTACTGACTTCCATCTTAAAAACCTTATTGATGCTAACATATTTTTATTCATCCAAGATATCTCACTGATAATGCTGATGTATTTGCATGAGTCAAACCTACTCATGTTCATAAAATGGAAGCCTATTTGTGTAGGTAGGGGAGCACAATTAAGTTTTCATGTTTTATTAACTGTCTCCTCTTATTCACAAAATGCATCCTCAGCTGGTGTATCAACAGGCAAAGCTCTGCTGCCTCCAATGGAGCTCTTCCAACTCACATCAGCAGACGATCTGGCTATGTCCTTCACTTTAATGTGGTGGCATAATTTCCTTAGGATCTTTATTTCCCCCTAATTAGTCAGACAAAATCTCTGTCTCACAAGAAGTGTTGGTGAAAAAAATAATGAATTTTTCTCTTCCCCCCAATATAAAAAGGAAAATAGAACAGCTGTTCTATTCAAACGACGCACTGGAGAATGAACTAGTGACCGTCTTGCGTTTTTTGACAAAGAAATTAATCAAATGTTAAATACAATATGATCTCTCTCTCTTTCACCTCCTGCTGCCCTCACATACAGCACACGATTTATTTACATTCCACCCTTACGCCGGCTCTGTGCACATTGACTGGGTGCCACACCCAGCGATTAAACTCGACTCCGATCACTACTCTTCATCATTAGAAAACTCCACGAACATTGGGCAGTTATATTTCATTTGCTGCTTGATCAAACAGATATGACAGCTTGCTAGGTTATTTGGATTTTCTACCATACCATAGAAAAATCCCCAAATCATGCATTTTTATGGCATAAATGTAGCCAGTTTATTGCAATGTACTTGTGCGCAAGACTCGGGACCCATCTTTGCTAGGGATCCAGTTTTGCTGCTGATGGTGCTGCTGATGAGATACAGAACTCCCTGTGAGTAGCTGAAAACGGGATAAACTGGACAGCGGGCCAGCTAAGTACTGAATTACAATGAGACTAGAGCACACGCCAGTGGACCCTTACTCATGTAGATGGTTCCACTGACTTCAAGGAGAACATGCAGGTTAGTGTCTCAGTAACGATTCCACATCGTGACCATCTAAAGGGGTTTTTTTATTCCAGATTGCTCCAAGAAACTCAGCCCTCCGAGGACAGGTTCTGCCACCTTTCACGTGATGAATAGTAGCACACTGGGACTCAATTCCTGCAGAGCAATGTCCTACCCATACTAATAGGGGCAGAATCATGACATATTTCTTAATGTTAATTTGGGGCCCAGTTATGCCACTGTTAATCATGTCAGTGACCATTTAATCATGCAAATAATTGCACTGATTTCAGTACTCACATGAGGAAGTGCTCACCAATATTTGAAACGCCCACTTGGGGATATAGCTTCACAATCCATTTGAATTTCTATGCGTAGCACAGTTAAGAGTTATATCATTTCAAAGGGAAAGCGGTCTAATTAATTTTTTCAGAGAGTTGTTTCTTGCAGGTGTTTTCTTGTCCTTGATTTAATAGAGGCCCAGTGCTCCCCCTCCCCTTTTACAGCTTTAATGATACAATATTAAAAAAATCTAGATGAGTGAAAATTGTACATTAGCTATAATTTTATGCAAGAGCTCTTTCAGTGCTTCCATTCCATCAGATTAGAGTAGATGGATGACAAGTACTTTTGTAGGTGGTTTTCTACCTCTTAATAATTTCCCTCTATGAGTGAATCTGACATATAGGTAGATGTTCTGAACAGTTCATTATCTTTGCTCATATTCCCAAGTATGTGTGGTACGTGTTGTTAAACAAACTCGTCCCTATTTCAGCTTGACAGTGCCATGGGTTGAACTTCTGGATGTGAATGCAAAACTAGCTTAAACAGAGAAGATGATTCCAAGCAATTTGAAAGTTGCTCATATGATCATTCTCTTAGCTGCAATACGATGTTCATAGAGGACTCGGAAGCAATTCACATATAAGTAACCCCTTCAAAAAAATCTAATTTTCAAACTGAAATCGGGTGTCAGTTCAGAATGTGACCTGACTGGAAAATAATGTCTGGTTAAAGGACAACTAAGGACTATCATGCCCCATGACCTATTTATGGCAGAAGGTGACCAGCATCTTCTGAAAGCACACCTACTCAGCACAGCGCTGATTTTAGTCAACTGCCTGCAGCAGATTGGGTGCCATTCTGTGTATCAGTCATTCAGGAATTTGTAACATATGATGAAGATGACTTAAAATATTGGACTGAACGTAAATATTAACGACGTGACTTCACTATTTAATTCTGCTGTTGTTTTTGTAATGCTAACAACTGTAATTCTGTTAATTTCTACTGACTAATCTAGACTGGCAGAAGTGCATGGTCGTGCAAAGCCTGGACAACTCAAAGCGTCAGTGAGAACAGTGTTACCCAGCCTGCAGTTAACGCTGTGAAAGTATGAAAAGCTTATAATTTAGCAAAATTTCTTTGTGTTAAGCATATACATCATATCAATGCTTTCAAGGCACAGGTATCTCTTTGTGAAAAAATCTGTTTTACATACAATGGGAGGCTCTTGCAAACAGGTGAAGTCCTTTAAAAGACCTTACTCTACTTGAGTCACACTTTAACGAACAACCTGCCAGAAGACAGCGGGACCAGACAATAATTGTCTGAAATGGTTTACACTCGAAGCCAATGGGACAAAGGAAGAGTACCAAGATTGAGAAGCACACGACTAAAAATAATCTGCTCTAACATGCTCTTAACAATCAAGGCCCTGCAACAATTCATGGTGTTCAGCATTTTAAGAAGTAATAGGCATGACCTGGAGCTTAAAGGCTTTTTGAAAGTGTCATTGGTCCATGGTCTGGATTGATGCCATCCTCAAGTAGGGATTTAAATGGATCACTCTCAGTGTTGAAATTATTACAAACAAGCATATGTAAGTCAGTTCTGCTTATAAAAGGTAACACTCAGATCAGTGTTTAAACAGCACCAGGACAACAATGAACTTTGTCTTGTTGCAAGATAATTTAAATTTGTATCAAGAGATGCCTGATAATGATAACTGAACCAGGAAGGTCTTGTAAAGTTTTGTTTTTCTGCATACTTAAAAAATGGCTCTCTCTAATGGTTTATACTTATGTCCACCCTATCACTTTAGTCTTTGGCAAAAAAAAATAGAGGGGAGGATGGAAAAACATCCCCTTGAATAAAAAATCCCACGCACTAGGCAGAAGTTTTCTCTGCTTTTATCCTACTTCCATTTTAAGAAAATATAATTCTAAAAACCTGTAATGATGGTGACTCAACTACCTCCCCAGGTAACTTATGCAGTAACTGAATTCTCCTCAGTGTGCTTTCTGTTCACATCTCACCTGGATGGTTTTTCGTTTGAGTTTTTGACCATGAACTCCTATGCTCCACGGAAAGCAAGCATTATTACCCTTCTTGAAGATTCTTGAAAAAATATTGCAGTGTTAACATATGATTTCCATCCATCACTTGTCACATCCTCAAACAAGGATTATGACAATTAATTATAAATAATGAGAAATCCTGATGCATCGCACCTTTTTATAAATCACAAATGAACTTTCTCTTGGGTTGTTCTCTCTCTGGGACCGGATTGGGATGTTCTGACTGCATCAAAAATCTCCTGAACATCTTGCTTACAAGGCCATTCCTACTCCCCTTACATACAGCCTTTTGCTATTACATATCCTTCTGTTATTATATATCCTCTTCCCCGGCTGATAGAAACAAGTCCACTCTTGTCTTTGAATACTCCTTCCACTGAGGTTCTCAATTTCCTTTGCAACACTCTCTGCTAATTTTCCTCTTTTTGCCTTCCTCAAGGATTTTGCAAATTATTGATTCATATCATAACTTGCCTCTATGTCTTTAGTTACAAAGGATTACACAATTATATTTTCATTTAGAGAAACAGGTTCACAGTGATAACGTGCAAATGAAGTATAATTTCAGGCAGTTTCTGCTACACTTAATGGGCACTATGTACGAGCTTTTACATATGACAGGCTTCGGCACTTAAAGAATGGTAGTGTTCCATTGTAAAAGCTTGTGCAACAGCACTACTTGTCCTTTCTCATGCTGTGTTAGTAGCAGAGCGTCTTTTTACATTACTAGAACTGACTAAAAACATTTCAATGTTCATTTAAAATAGGGTTCCTTACATCAGGCATTTAATGTCATGGACTTACTCATAAACTGTTGTCCATCCATTTTCATCGCTTTTGGTTGCTAAAAGCCCCGTGTTTCCAGGATATGTCATCAGAGCCAGGTTGTAGCCTTGGGCATAAACTCTTTTCAGAACCCCATTGCTGCTTATTGTCAGCCAGTACACCTGGCCCCCCGGCACCACGACCCACAGGGGCAGCCCACTCGTGTCTCTGCGGATGTGAACCGAATTCCCATTGCTGCTGGTGATGGTGCCGATATCCCCTTCCCCGCTGTAGGTGAAATTGTAAATGTAGTCCCTCGTGATGAGGTTCAGCGTGTGCAGGTGGGTGCCGTTGATGGTGAACTGATACAGTTCTTGGTCAGCTGGCGAAGCAATCTCATACATATTGGTGTCACTGAGGTGAGCCTTGTTCCGGCTGACCGCACGGATGCGAACGTTGCCAAGGTCTGCAATGTACAGTGTGTCATCAGGAGAGACTGCTAGAGAAGAGGGTGCTTTGAGCTTTGCATCTTTGGCATATCCACCATCACCTGGAGGAGAAATGGTAATTTCAGTAATCTGTAATGTCCATATTTAAGCTGATCCGCATAGCCTGACACACTGCTTCTCCTCAGTATCATTTACAGGTCAATAAAACAGTATCTTCTTCCAACTAATTAAATCCATATTATCTATGGTTGGCGCAATTCTAAATCAGTCTCAATGAAGACAAACAAGAATATAAATTATCTAATTTACACCATTTTTGCTAAGGCCAAAACCCTGCTGCTCTGGAAAGCATTAATGGCAAAATTGTGAAAGAAAAAAACCATGATACCTGAAGTTTCATTCCCTCCTATTTGTCTGTTGGCATGTAGTTAAGGTAGAATCATGTTATGAATAAAACAAAGAGAAAATAACCCCCAGTAATTCTACTAAAATGACACTGAAGCAAAGATTAATTTATACTTATTAAAAGCTCAACACTATAGGAAAACAAAATAATAGCCAAAAAGGGCCTGAAGAAACCACCCCTTCCAGTATCACTTGAAAATTTACTTGGTTTGTATATTTTAAGGTTTGAGGAGGATATCTGCATTGTCATGGGTTGTATATGCATATCAAAATGACTTTACATGAGCAGGATTTTCTGTAACTAGCAAGAAAGCATATTAAACCTCGCTCTTAAGAGAAAAACACATTACTGCTTGTATTGCCCTCCTTCTCCTGACTGAGAAATGAAATTTGGTGGAGATTTTGAGCGTACCTTATGCTTCCTTGGAGACAGACAAAGCAGTTGGTCTTCTGACCCTGCCTTTCACCAATCCAGCACTGGCATTCATTAGATTTGCCACAGTTTTTAATTTGTCAGCACTGGGGGCAGTTTCGCTCAATAGGAACCCTGAACAGGATTCTTTTCAGCACGTGTCTACCACAGCTGTGACTGAAGCTGGCCACACTTGGCAATGCACATGAAGCTTTGATTATCATTACAACGCTGGGTCAGCAACCCACCTTCTCTGGAAGACCATTTACATTTTTTTCCCTCCATTCTTGACATACTTAATGTTTTCTTGTCAGTAATTAACCTTTTACTTGAAATGGGAGGCTTAAGAATTATGATGACATTATGGAGCTGAACACCGTGGTTCTTAGAGATGACAAGATGACAACATACTGCACACCTCTGTACATGGGAATGCTGTCCTTTGTCCCATTATGAAATATGTTTTTATGAAAAAGAAATTTTGTTTTGATGCATGCAGGAGAGAGGAGCTGCATTGCTGAGAATGTCCAGTGGTGCAGTGCGGGCCTGGCACTTGCTGTTCCAGTTGAAAACACACAAAGGAGAAGAAATTCTGAACACGATGTGTTTGCATTGTTTTACCGGTTGTTCAGTGTGACACAAGAGACAAGAAGGCATAAGCTAGTGTTTTTCACTGGGTATGAAACACCTTGGTACGCTTCTTGGTGAGAAGGGCTGCGGGACCCAGTAGCATTTAGGAGCAATCTGCACTGGGGCTGGTACCATCTTCAACACGGGCAAACATAGCTGACACAGAAAGGCAGACTTGGAGCTGATTTTGAACAGTGTGTAATCTCTGTCTCAAAAGAGGAAAAGCTAAGACCACCCTGAGGGTCCTCCAGTGCCAACTGGAAGACTCGCATCTCTACAGCCAGTGGGTTAAATCCACAAAGAGCTGCTGATAAGGTTTTCGGCTTTCCAAGGAAACTGAATCATTGCTCATCTCTCCTTCCCCTTGTCACTTCGCTCATCTGCAGCTGTGCCAGGGGCTCTCAACAGATAAGGAAATAACTAGCATCGCCTTACCTGAAAAACAGTCACAATTAGGATCGATCTTGCAGTCACAATCTGATGGGGCTCCAGCGATTATGGAGATCTCACCGTTAGTTGTGACCTGTTGTATACGGTTGATTTTTCTTTCATCTGTCTCTGCAATGTAGAGTATCCCGCTGTGAGACACAGCGATTGCCCTGGCTGACTCCAGGGTGGAATGGATGGCCACCTTGCTGACGATGAAGTGGTCGATGCCTGGCACCTGGCAGTGAATGGGGCGCCCTGCAATAATTCGCACACGCCTGTTCTCAGAGATCTGCAGGACAATGTTGTTGTCCAGGACATATAGTGAATTGTCTAAAGGGTTCACTGTGAGGTCTGTTGGCCACTCTAACCGCACCTGGAAAAAAAAAAAAAAATTAAAGGGAAGGCAGGGGAAAAAAAAGAAAAAAGAATGATTAAGACAGTAAGGCAGCTTCATCCAACCACCTCTGACCACCATGTCATCAAGGCACTCGGTGGATTCACCCAGCACTGCTTCTCTAGTATGTACCTTTAATTGGGTTTGGCAGAAGAAGTTTCAACAAATACACACTTTTCTTCGGTCCAGATCCAGCGTGGAACAAAACTTGATTTGAAAAGTAATTTAGCACCCTCTGAGAGGTATTTGCACAAGTCCATTAAGGTGAGAACTTTATTATACCTATGTAGTCATGCAAATACAAACACACGCTTCATGTCATGCAACATCAGCCAGAAAATTTTCCAGGCCTGGACGTTATTGTTTCAAGGTTGCAGTCAACACTGGCACAGTGGAAAACAGTTAGAGGTTGTCAATGTCCTAACACTTAATTGACTGTTCGTACAAAAGGAAAATGATGTACTAGAAGAGCACGACACATTTCCACAATTTATTTACTAAGCAAGAAACGTTAATAAGACTTATATGCCATAAGAAATACAAGCTCGTAATTCTTTGTAACATAATAATACACCAGTATATCACACTTCACATGATACAACAGCGAAGCATAATTGATTATAATGATTTTGCTTTGGGAATTCAGTATTTTAGGCATGGATTAAGTGAATTCTTCATACTTAAGGTTAGCTTTTTGCCTTTTTCCATGCAGGTGAGAGTGCCAACCAAGCAAACTTTCCAAACCACGCTGGAGGAAATGCTAGGAGAATGACCTCCCTTGTCTGCTACCTGTTGCATCAGGATCCGGAGGAATTAAACATGCTCCCGGTTAAAGGCGGGGCAGTCTGTCAACCTGAAAGACAACCAGTATGCAGGCTGCTGATTGCAGCACGTACTGGCCAGCGCTGCAAATTCCTCCTGTTGAGAAAGCTCAACAGGCAGTGCAGGATGGCTGAACTGGGAAACAACAGAGCAGACCGGTCCCTCTCCCCAGCTAATGGCCAGTGGAGGATTTGGACTGCAGCTTATCTATGGAAAGGTCAGAGAACAACTGAGACACTGAGATTGCAAGACAGCCTATTTTTGTCTGCCTCAGGATGCTCTGCTTGTTATCCTTTGTGAAGAGATGGCTGCTTTTATGTGAGTTTTTTTGGACTGAATTTTTATCTGAATTTTTCTGGACTGCATATTTCAATCATCAGAAGAGAATAAATACCAGGATAAATGTAACGGTTTTATATGCTTTATATGTCAAGAGGCTTCTATTATTTCATTTACTGATGTTGTTGCTGGTTTTCCTCATTTTTCCACTGTGCTAATTAAAAGATCTATGAATTTAGAGACTGCAGATGCTAATACAATGCTCAGCACTGAGGAATACCATATGGTGGAGCGTGTGGCCATCGCAAACCACCTGCTCGCCTGGGGTCAGCTCAGGAACCAGGCTGGAGGCCAAGTCTCTCCCTTTCTCAAGCATCAGTGTTTCCTGAATAATCTCATTTCCAGAAGTACATTGCTGTTTTGAGAATCGATGTTTTAATAAAGTGAGGACATTGCGGCTACCGTGTCTCAGCCTGCGTGGTTACGTGGTGCACCACACAATTATGACGGCTCACGGAGTAATCGAATTGCTCCTTGTGCCCAGTCCATTTTACTAGACAGCAGAATTAACTGCCATTAAGACTAATGCTGTTGGGTTCTAGATCTCTCCTGAACCAGGTGGTAGAGTCCTTCCAAATGATGATAAATGTGGTGAAACAGTTGGAAACAGATTCCTCCTATAAAGGTGCTGATTTCTGTGTGTGTGACTGCCCAGATTCCACCCGCTGTGCTAGGGCTGGTTTGCACACTGCTGTGGGCTCACGCTTCAACTGAGAGTTCACTGGGACACCAAATAACTCTTTAGTTAGCATAAAAATCTCCACAAGGCTGTCTTCAGGAAACGTGGAAAAAACCATATTTGCAATGTACCTTTAATGCAGAACGTTTGATTGCTCTATCGAAGTAAATGGCTTATTTTTAATGGGAAACAGACACCTTCAACTTTAACAGCCTCCTTCACAGATCGCTCTGCTGTAAAAATAATATTTGATTAACCGTAACTAGATTATTAGTGATAAAAACTTTGGGCTGAAACTATCTATTTTTGCCATAATGACTCTGCATAGCATCTGCCATGTCTTAATAGCTGGTTTTCCTTTGTGGACCAGCCACACTGCCTTTGCCCAGTGAATAATTTGAATTCCTCCCACGGTGCGGGTATGCCTGGTGTCTTGCAGATAAACAGGGACTGGTTTGGGTCAAAACAACTTTTTCTCTGGTTGATTTGAGGCTTATTTGGTTTATTGAGATAGAATAATCTTTTATGCAACTGTCCATTTCACTTGCAGAAATGTGCCTAAAGCTTAGTCTTAACAGCTGTTAACTGCAAGCACATTTGCTTTCATACTGATCACATCTGTAAATCTAGCTGCATTACGGTAAAAATAAATAAAATTTTAGTTGGGAACATCGAAACAATTTTGGTTAGTACGCCAGAACCATCGCCTAGCGCTCTGCTCTGCAAAGCTCACTGAAGGCATGGCTACAGCTTCTCCTTCCTGGGTTTAAAGTGGTCATGGATGTATTAATGGTTTAATCCCAGGTGAAATATTAAAACTAGCATGTACCTGTCTGGAGATTGCAGCACAAAAACCATCTGCTGCTCACTGCAAGCTTACACACAAACACAAACCCTTGAGGATTCTAATCTGAAGGAGAATTTCACAGATCTAGAAAAAATCTGCACTGTTCTTGTCAGGATGAGACTTCAAGGCATCTTAAACTGGTGTAAGCTGGGGCTGCTGCAGTCCCACCCCATCCCTTCCCCCAGTGCAGCCCCCAGCAGCAAGGCCAGTGTTTATGTGCTCCTACAGAGAGCAGGTTCAGGACAGTTTGCTGGCGAAAAACTAATCACCTAAATCAGCTTAAACCGAAGTGTAACTGCACCCTCAGGTTCGTTGTTACCTTGAACAGTCACCGGTTGTTTCTTTTCTTTTAAAGCAAGCTGCCCTCCGGCAGGTTTCTGAGCGCAAACCATCCGCTGTGCTTCACTCAGAGCCAATAAACACATTACAGAGAAGAACTTTAATTCTCATCAGATATTACTGTGCCTATTAAAAAGTTTTTCCAGGCAAAACCTCAGTTAGGATTAGAATATTAAATCAGTTAATATACTTCTCAATTTGAAGCAGAACTTCATAAACCCCTGTAAAAAGACCTCTCCCATTTATGAATATTTTTCTTGTAACTCAAAACTGGGCCAATTGCAAGTGTTTTGTCTTGTATTTGATGCGTACTTGCTGGGGCAGCGTACAGAAATGGCATTGCCGATTATCCCATTATAAACAGACAGACAAGGTTGGTTCAGTACCAGTCAGCACCTCACATTCTTCACAGACTGAAATTTTCAGGTGACAATTCTGGTTTGGTTCACTGGAGACTGAGCATATGCAATGAAAATCACTGCCGAAACAAGTGAACCCTTGAGCAATGAGACCTTTTGCACGTAAGTATTAACGTGTCAACTTTTCTGGGAATTCAGCATTTAACTGTCAAGATAAAGGCTCCAGCTATATCTAATAATCAGTCTCTGGTTTGAGAAGTGCAAAATTAACACCTACTGGCCTGGCTTTCTAATATGTTTTTTGATGTCAACTGTTCTGGAAAACACAAAGTGTGCTAAGGTGGCTTCAGTTTAAATGAATTTTCACCGGGAGAGCTACATTCAGGCAGTTAAATAGCTCTCAGACCCGAGTGGTTTTGTTTTTTTTTTCCTTTCTTTCTTGCAAAATATGCATGTGCTTGTGTAACTATCTACCTACCTACCTATCTGGTCTGGAAATATATAAACGTTTTTCCCACAGCAAAGCTTTACAACTGAACACATAAGGTGAGTTTTTTGCAAAGTAGCACTGATAGGAGAGCCTGCACTCGTACACTTCTTAAACATACACGCCCGCACACGTACACACATTTTAAGTGTTAGTTTGTGAAGAATACTGCATCACTTTTGGTTTTGACCATATGGTTAAAACTTGGTGCACATTTTGCATGACATTTTACGGCTGTGGCATTTTTGGTGCTATTTTAAACAAATCAGATCAAACAAATTCTACCATTCCTATCAAAGTAAGGAAAAGTAAAAAGAGGGAAAAATTTATCCTTGTGTGCAGATGCAGGTTTCAAGAGCTTAACTGTTTGGTTGCGGAGGTGAATTTCACTGGGATAAGTTTCATTTATCATTGATTAAAAGGCTGCATAATTCCCTAAAAAGGGACTTCTTGCCATGCATTGCTCGTGGATTTTGAATCAATTTCATGTAGTAGCATGAAATTCATGCCAAAATTTTTCTGAGAGTCCTGACTGATGGATTACTTCGTTTCTGTACGGCTCAGCTTCAGGTGCTTCTGTTTATGCTACCTTTGGCTTTATTTAGCTCCACGATACGCATTTGCAGACCTGACCATAACATCCTCCATATTTCTCTTTTGCTGCTCGCTTCCTTTTTTCATCTCCTCTTTTTTATACACACTTCAGCTGTTGTTTCCAGGCCGAACCCTTTTACTCACCACCACGTCCTTATAAGCAGCATTTTTCTCTCCTCCCACCCAAGCCCTTCTTTTCCTTCCTTCTGCGAGACAAGTGGCTCCGAGGAAGGACTCGCACAGCGGTCCATCGGGAGCGAACGGGTAGTTCACAAGGCTGAAGGAGACCGGTTCTGCTTCCCTGAACTTTTACAGGATGTCTCACTACATGTATTTCTCTCTATTTTCTCACAGTTGACAACCACAGATATTTTTTCATCATTTTCTGTCAGTTTGCTCTCACTTCTGGGCTCTTTCTTTTGTTGACACTGACACTGTCAGCTCCTCTCAGCAGCTTAGCTCCTTTCTTAATGGCACACAGAGATGCAATTCGGCTCCTGCGGTCTGACATTG